CTCTTCCCTCTCCAATTGTCCAGGGCATTGCTTCATGGGGATGATGACAAGGTGGCCAGTGTGAAGCTGGCCCGGGGCAAAGTCCACACTGTACACTCCCCGGGCTCCCGGCAAGACAGTTGGGGGCCTGTCGGTCAGGCAGCCTAGGGGGCACTGACTGCCCTCCCTGCACCTCGTCTGTGGAGACAAGGGCAGGCAGGGAGGAGCCGGACTTGGGCAAAGTGGAGCCAGGGAAGATTCCGCTAGAAGCAGAACCCAGCCCTTGGTACAGGGGTGTGGAGGGGTCCCTGCACCCTGCCGACAGGCTCCTCCCTCCTCACCTGTGCCTATCCTGCCTGCAGGGAACCCCCCACGACCCAGCCCAGAGTCTGAGGAGCCCAGGCGAGGTCCAGCAGAACGCAGTGGGGGTGGCAGCAGCTCCGGAACCCCCAAGCTGATCCAGCGCGCCCTGCTGCGTGGCACCGCCCTGCTGGCCTCTCTGGGCCTGGGCCGGGACCTGCAGCCACCAGGGGGGCCGGGCCGCGAGCGCGGAGAGCCCCCACCGCCACCCCCCACACCCATGCCCACTCCTGCCCAGCCACCCGCCTCCCCACTCATCCGCTTCTCACCCAAGATGCCCAGTGCCCCCGCCTCCCCGCGGAACCCTGATGCCCCCATGCCACTACTGCTAGACCTGGGCATCCCCACGGACCAGCCGTCTGCCAAGAGCCCCCGGCGCGAGGAGACACGCGGTGAGTCCCGGGGCCAGGCCACGAGGGCAGGGTGGCAAAGATGGGCGCTCACCCGGTGGCCCCCAGGATGCTGGTCAGGCCCTGGGCTCTAACGGTGCCAGGGCAAGGCCTTGGCCTGCCCGCTGTCAGGTAGGCAGTTCAAACCCACCAGCCGCCCTACCTGTGGGAGAGAAAGGCTGTCTGCTCCCTCACGGATCTGCAGCCTGGGAAACCCAACGTGGGGTCGCCCTGAGCCCCGGCTGGCTTCACGGCCGTGGGTTTGGGGGTTTGTAAATCACAGAACACTGACGGTGGTGGCGGAGGCCCTGCAGCCTGATGCGACCTCCCGTTGATGGCACTTCTCCGCTCGGTAGAGCACGAGGGTTTTGGAGCCCGACCTTTGAGGCCTGCCTGGGAGAGGGGTCTGAACTGCCAACGTTGGGGCCAGTAGCCGAGCACCTGCCCATTAGGGACACACCTGGCTTCCTCCCTGGGGCCTCAGTGCACTTGCTGTCCCCCCCACTGTGGGGATGGGGAAGTCGAGGCGCAGACAAGAAGAGGACACCACTTCGAACACAGTCAGGGGCAGAGCCGGGACCCGATCCCAGGCCTCGGCTCCAAAAGCCTCCCACTTAACCCCGAGTGACGAACAGGTGCACGGGGCAGAGAGGACGTGGGCGTTAGGAGCCGGGAGCTGTCAGAGGCCAAAAGACATACATGACCGCTGGCCGGCTGACCTGACCGTGTGCCTCCTTCCCTTCACAGGACGGACTGTCTCCCCTCCACCAGGGATATCACGCTCAGCCCCGGGGACCCCGGGCACACCCCGCTCACCACCCCTGGGCCTCATCAGCCGCCCGAGACCCTCCCCTCTTCGCAGCCGCATCGACCCATGGAGCTTCGTGTCAGCTGGGCCCCGGCCTTCACCCCTGCCCTCACCGCAGCCTGCCCCGCGCCGGGCACCCTGGACCTTGTTCCCAGACTCAGACCCCTTTTGGGACTCTCCACCTGCCAACCCCTTCCGGGGAGGCCCACAGGACTGCAGGGTGCAGACCAAAGATGTGGGTGCCCAGGCCCCTTGGGCGCCAGAGGCCAGGCCCTGAGTGGTCTGGACCCTTCT